ATTGTGGCTTAATAAATACAATCTATCTTAAAAAGAATCACCAAATATCATTTCAAGTTTAGTGAAGATATCGCGTACTATAAAACTGTTGTCAATTTTAAAATACATTAATAATTTGAAAATTAAGTATACCAGTAATAATCTGAAATTCTTGGAAATTATCCGTTGACATCAGAACATTGATGACCATGACTGAAATAATTATTTATCCTAAAAGAGGAGACATCAAGTACAGTTGGAAAAATAATTAATGATTCCACAATCCGATGTTCTATGTAGACTTCCAAATTTAATAAACAATATATCAAATACAGTTTTCTGTTATTTATTATTAAAATACTTAAGATTACAAGTTTCTGAGAAACAATTTCAGGCCATATGCAATGCCATTTTTCCAATTAATCGTAAAATTTTTATATCGATAAACAAAATAACTGTAACGACACGTGTCCTTAGCCTTGTAACCTATAAAGATTAAGGTTTGAAACTACCTTAGACATGTATTAAATGTCTTACTTCATAAAAACAAAGCGAACGCCAAGGGTGGGTAAACTTATCTTACAGAATGCAAACAAATAAAATTATATACATATTATTAGAGTTTTAACCATATTGTTGTAATTAGTGAAACAGTCTATTTCGTATTTAGTAGGTATTTAATATGAATCATTCCTTTATTTGTAAGTTGCTTTTGAGGTCAAGAAGTATTCGTTACTTGTTTACTTGATAATTTAGTAAGATAGTATTTTTGCTTCTAAATTATTATTGACCACCCTGTCAGTAAATCTACCTACATTTATGAAGTCGACTGTACTAGGTAAATAAAACGGGTCCCGTATTTGTGAGCATGACCCACGCTGTAATAATTTATGCCATAACCACAATGAATCTTGAAAATACTCAGATTTATTAGTAATAATAATTCTAAGCATACCAGCTATCTAGTTCACAGATCATAGTTAGGAATACAAATATATATAATTGAATTAGGTTTTTGACATAGTATTAGAACCTTCTCGGGCACAAATATCATTATAGATCAGCTCTTAGCCTACTATTTTACCGCTAAGATTATTCATTAAGTCGACATACTTATACGATATTTTGGGAATAAAAGGATTGGTGAAACATCATTTTTATTGCGTCCCAAGGATGTAAAAATGTCAATAACAACCAGTCTTGTAAAATAACAAAAAAAAGCATTCCATCACATCAGACACTCAAATTACAGAATTCGATTTGGTATGAAATTTCATGCTACACAAGTTTCAATATACTTAATTAATTTTTTCTATATGACCGGATTGGCAAACAAGCTGAATAACCATATAATGGAAATTTACTGCAATGTTCCGTCTCATTGTTTGTAGCTAAGTACCTATTGGAAAACAACGACAAGGTTCAGTACGTAATATCCACGACTTCCTTATATCCCGATTCAGGGTGAAGATTCTTATCTTAGAGGGTCGAAGCCATTCTTTGAGCCTTTTATTTAATAAAAATCTTGGTTATAGTTTAAATGAGTAAAAATGAAATGTGATGCTTGAAAAAATTAAATAAAAAATAGGTATTTAATCACCTCAATTGAGAGTACCTCAAACTCACCTAAACTTTTAGACTCATCACGTTTTAAATTTAAAACACCTGATTACATTAAATGACAGGAAAATAGATATATAACTAAACTGTATTGTCACACTATATCTATCGCAAGCGTTCTCAATAACAATTTATAGCGTCTTTAATAAAAGGAAAAGACTATGATTGCAGATATTTCAAGCGCGTCGTTACTTTTCGTGTAGTGCCAAGAAAAAAACCTAACAAAATAACTATATAATATTTTGTGGTCAAGACTTTTTACGAGAAAACATAAAAAAAAATCTAATAATATAAAAGGAACACGCTTGGGACAAGATTGTAGTTAAAACGGAAAAATTCTTTGCCGAGATTTATAATAGTTTTGTGTTGGACACTATCGGATACTTTTGTTAACTGAAGTAAAAAGTTGAATAATTGGAATACCACGATTAGGTATGTCATTTCTTATGGCAAATGAGATAGGTTAAGGAAAGGATAATAATCCAGAACAGAAATTTGCTCAAAGTCCATGTAATATAGTCTATTGAGCTTACTGGGCCAAAAAATATATCCAGCCGAAGCATCCATTTATATATTTTCTGCAACTCATTGGTGTACCACTTGAATGTATACTATACTATCTACTAGCTACCTGTAAATGTATTTCTATAGCACCGTGAACGTGACCGTGAACGATCCAAGTAATACTCAGTACGTCACAATCATACACACATGTTGCCGAGTAAACACTGAAGCCCCACAACTTGAAGAACGTTCTACCGTCACCTCTATTCACGCAGTTAATTCTATTTTTATAAGAAGATTATGCGGATGACTGATAAATCTGCTATTCAAAGGGAGTTGCCGGAGCGACCTTGCACTTAAAGGATTTGAAATGTTACGCTACAGTGGTTATTTAATCTCTTCTATTTTACGTTCCGCTCAAAACGATCTTCGTCCGTGTTTACATTCGACACAGCGGGTGCGAATTTAAAATTAACGCAAGAAAATGATTGCAAAAAAAATATTCTAGTCAGTGGCATTGAAGTCTCCCCTCTGTGCTACAAAACAATGTTAAAACAACAAATGACCCACGTGACGCCAATTAAAGCTTAGAGCGAGGAATTCACCAGGATTGCTTCCAAACAAAAATAAATGTTAGCGCGTGACGGGTTACAGTAGCACAAACGAACCGAAATAAATCACGTACCTAACTGAAAACAAATTCGCTTTCTGCGTTACGCAATTTAATTATAACTCGTTTTATTAAGAATCTGGGTGCACTACTAATTCAAATTGGACGTCAAAGTGTGGTAAGTGACTTGGCAATGGACAATATAGAGTCATTGTTCATATCAATATGTATAGGTATCCATGTTTTTTCACAAGGTACTATGTGCTGATATGTTTGTGAAAAACGTCATTTGAACAAAAAAGGCCATATTCTAGAGTCGTGCTCCGTTATTATTCATGACTTTCAAGATAAACAATATATACATACCCACAACAAAGGGTCTACACTCAGATAACCTTACAGTTTGGGTAGTATAAAAAAAAATTTATCTACTTATTTTTTTTGCAAGTGTTATAATTATCATACGAATGAATTTATTATTAGAAAATATCTACATTTTAATAAAAACAGAAATCTGGAAGCATTGTGCTAATTGCCGAGAATAGACGCGCACCCCTCATTAACAATCTACTTGGCAAGCAAACAGTACCGTTGACCTACCTCACGTGTCATCCACGTCATACGGGCACGGCTTTATCTAAATAAATAAAGTTAATTCCAGCCCGCAAAGAATTACAATAATAGCAAAAACTTATTTTTCTATAAATTCCAACCCGCTTTTTTACATTTACAAAGCTTCATAGTTAAAATGTTTAGAGAAAATACTATATCGCTATACCTTTTATTATGTTTCCAGGGTTAGTTGTAGTACAAGTCGAAGGCCAGTATTAAAGAAATTGAACAAAGAAACGAAAAATTAAAATTAAAGTTGGAAATGGTTCAGTTTCATGAGTATTCTAGCTTGGTTATCATTTTCAAGTAACATTAACTTATTTCATGTACAATATTTAAAACCTTCAATTAATTATTGATTGTATCTGACCTGCACATTAAATAGACTAGTATTTGTGGTGTTTGAAATTATAGGGTCTTTTCTCTCTATAAAATTACATTTAAATACCTACGATGCATTTCAAATTGTCAGTGTAACATACCTATAATCCGATAAGAATGTATTTTTGCCACTTAATATGATACGAGATTAAATATTCATACAGATTAAGTATACGCACCTACTTAAATTTAGGTTTATCAAATCAATATATCACATCACATGTACAAGTGCTCTATATTTCTTTATAGATTGCAATCTATTTTTATAAACCAAACAATAATTCTACGGTGGAATTACGTTCAATAAATATAGCGAATAAATGCTGCATCATAAATAATAATTGAACTCATAAAATAATATTGAGTTTGGCTTCAGACTTTCAGCGTATGAAAATTTATAAATAACTAAACAAAATATCCAACGGATTGGGGATAAAAATATCAGTTAGAAAACATCTAAAGGTAAGCAACTTAACAGTCTAGTAGAATGCACATCGCATTAATGTTTAATGATACTTTTAATGTTATTAAAATAATGCACCTCATTCACACAATGTACCACATGCGAAAATAATCAACTAAATCTAATTAATAATAGATTCAAATAATATTCTTCATGTCCCATGACTATAGTGTTTGTTACATGTTTACAATAGCTATCAGTTAGAAGTTTTCATTAGGTAGGCTTATAATAAAAACGCTTTACTTATTATAAATATCAAAAGAATTTAACCGATTATATACGTTCCACAGAATTTCAAAGAAGGCAGGTTCCTGCTAAATTGTAATTGTTTACCAACGTGTAACAATGGACGTTGACAGTATTATACTTCGGAAAAACCTATATCGTTTACAGTGAGTACAAACAATAGTATTCTCAATAAAAATTAGGGTTTTAATTCCAAAAAGGAAATCCATATTTTTGGAATATTTACTTTTGATGTAGTTGGGTCAAAATTATTAGAAATAAAAATTATTTTTCTCCTTAAAAGAAGAATTGTAACGCTTTAAATTTCAAAGGTTTAAGTCGGTTCTTTAAAAATGTTGAAAATATTGTGCCTATGCAAGTTCAGTTATATTTATTATTTAGAATAGTTTTTGTCTTCTAACAATATACAGTTAGCATCTATTTCTTACAGGTATTTGGTTTTTCTATATAAAGAAAATATTTAGGACTCTTAGTATGACATATTGGCATTGGTTTTGTTAATAAGATAACGGTGAAAGTAATATAAAGAAAAGATTCAAATTCTATATATTTGATATGAAATATATAAGGTTAATTGAAACTCACCTTCATCTGGGCTGAGATCTGCAAACTTCACACCACCACTGTAAAAGAAAAGTCAAGAATTGCAGTGTTGTACTACCATAACAATAGCTAATAATTTCAATATTAAATAAATTTCATATTTTGAGTAACTTCACTAAAATTATATATCAAACATACAATAAATGAGTTTCTGTAAAGGTAACCCTTACAAACACCCAAAACTGTATGGTGCTAATTTCAAATTCTATTTTTTAGGGTGCTCATTAAAAGTTATCAGGTTTTATTATACAACAAATTGAATTTAAAGCAAAAAAAAATATAAAATGGTATTTACAATAATAAATACATACACAATTTAAAATAACTGTGTTAATAAACATATTCAAATGTATATTAAACCTATTGCAAGATATTGTTTATTAACTATACATGGAAATTAATTGTAAATATAAAGACAGATATGGGGAGGATAAATTACTATAAATATGTATAATACAATAACTACTGAAGTACCTATTACCTACATGGTTACTGTTTGTATTAAAATCAATTCTATGTAAAATAAAACTCTGAATATTTAACATGCACCCAATCAATGTAGATTCACTTCGTACCTTAGGAGCACGGTAGCCGTTTCCGGCACCCGGAACACCTGGAAATAAACACAATGTGGAACGATGTCTTACTGGATCTCCAAATGGAGAAACCATAACCACAGGAAACCACAAATCCTACTACAGCAATTCTATGTTTGTATTTTAATCTAAATGAAAATTATATTCTTATATTTGCGGCAATGAAAATAAAGGACAATTACATTAAATTACAACTTTCAATGTTTACATTATTGTTCACTGTTAGCCCAAGTAATCTATTGCTAATGAAGAAAATTACCCTCATTTTAGTAAGCAATATTTCTATATGCTATACTAAAAAATAAGTCTAATGTTTTACACTGACAATATATATAGTAATTTTGCCAATACTGGCCCATAGAAGATTTTCAATAAAAAAAATTATGCTACTGTTTACTAGTTTTAGATATGACAATATGACCGAGACTTTGAATTTTGATTACATATATACACAATTAGGTTTTAAATAACATAAAACATAGGTTTCTAATTTAATGTAACAGAAACAAATTTATGTATGTCTATATTTTATATCTGATATTACACATTAATATATGCAACAAGTAAATAGGGATATATTTAACTGCAGATAAAGCAAATTATGTTTATAAAAGACCAATAGTACTACATATCTTTCTTGTCCTTTAATTTCAATCATTCTAAATTTAAAACATCAATTCAAATTGCCATTAAATGTTTGTGGGAACAATAAAATTTAGTAACTTTAGATTATATTTATCAAAACTAGTGAAAGGTATACTTAAATATATTTTCTCATACTGCATTCATAAGAGTTACATTAAGTATAGTATTAGTAGATAAACATTACACAGATCAGTCACAAAATATCATGAACACAATTATTTATTTTGAATTGTACATAAGCTCTAATACTTGAAATATACAGTTAGATACATAATATGAGTTGGTATTTCTCACCTTCCATCCCAAATTCTCAAAGAATGTGCTAAGACGAGACTGTCCAGTTGTTTTGCCACCACAGGGACCTGGATTTAGATTTAAAAAATGTATGGGGTTATTAAATTATCCAATGTGTACAGAATCACATATAACAACTTTGACTAAAAAATGTGACTGAAACAGATAAATTACAGAACTTAGGTCAGTAAATAAGATTACCGCTTTTCCTGTGACCTGCCACCAACACATCACAAATAAATTTCAAATTAGTTGATGTAGTTCGCATCGTTGTCAATTCAAGTTCTAACTGATGCTGATAGTGCACCTAAGTGTGTCTCCACGTGTTGCTTTGTCTAGCCTATTTTTTATTCTGTAGAATCAAGTATTCACTCAGTTTTGTGAAAAATAATACATAATATTTTAACAAAATACACAATAATAGAAATGACAAAATGTTATAAATTATTCAAAGAAAAAAAGAAAATCAAGACAACATTTAGTACTCACCTCCCGTAAGAACAATTTTATAAACAGTTTTTTGAGATTGATTTGCCATTTTTAAAAAAAAACAAAAAGATAGATTAAAGTTAAATTACACTACCAAGCTTACGAAGAATATAAATATCATAAAAATGTTGAATTTACAAAAGTGGTAAAAAGGGCCATGACAAAATACATATCGAAGAGTAACCGTGCGTTGAAATGAAAGATTGAATTGGATTTTTGTAACGAAGCTACAGATAATAAATAGTACACAGTGTTACCAGAAAATTCAAAGAAATGGCCAAAACGGCCGATGGATAAATTTCTCGACAGGAAAATGCCAGTACGTTTATTATGTATTATTCACATTAATTAGATTATAATATACATATTAGCATTTATATAGAGATGTAGTGTATGTAGAACTCTCTCTAGTATTAGAGAGTTCATTTAACTGTCGTCTCGCGCTGCGCCGGGAATAAGCCATCCGTGAGGAATAAGAGAGGGGATATACCGATATTATGAAGATAACAACTAATGTACTAGAAGATATAAAAATACTTAAATAACGAATAAGTTAACACTTCACAGGCAACAATTTCAGATTAAATAATTTAAAAATTTTAATTATTCACAGTAAAGTTTTAAAAGTATCTGAAACTATAAAATTGAGATATAATTTATGCAAATAAAAATAGACAAAATAAATTTTATTGAAATGTATTTTAATAAAAATATGTTAAGATGTTAACAATAATTACGAAATGAAATGTCTTAAATTTTTTATCATGACTACATTTGCAAACTATAACGAAACACGACGAACGATACACTGGTACATTATATAAATCAAACCTGCAAACCATTTTTCGGTATCAAAACTTAGATAGCGTGCTTCTTAATTGATTTAGTTAAGAAAAAAGTGCTAAACTGTGACTACAGTATTTGCTTTCTTGCATTACATTTTGGCAACACTCAAAATTGACAATGTAGGTATTTGAAGACATTTTTGAATATTCTTATGTTGTACCGGTTATAGTACTTAATAGGTTTTTTTAATGGATGTAATGAAATGGTGCACCTATCTGCGCTAACGGTATACGCTGGCGAGGCACCAATGGAGGATTAGTAGAAGTAGATTAGTAGAAAATGGTTAATTAGCTCACCGTGGCAAATTGATTAGTAATTTATCATGATGGTTTCCAGAAGGTACCCCGTGGAGGTCAATTTGATATAGTACATTGCTAACAAAAGAATTATTAATCCACATTACTAAAAATCCCCTACAGTGAGTATGGGTATATACTTTGGTTTTAAACACTGCCCACATTCAAATCCCAGTTACTGTATTTTTTTTTTAAATGAAGGATAGTCTAAAGAAAAGAATTACTTACACCAAAAAAATAATGAAAATCTGGGCTTAGATCACAATTATGTATTAACAAGAAATTCAAATCACTATAGAGTAATATAATAGTGTATAGTTGTACACCATTTGTCCTAAGTTTTAACAATTCTGCTGTGCAACACACACCTACAAAGCCACAGATAATTATTATTAAATTTATTATTTGGACCACAGTGGGTACAGTATTAATATTTTTCAGTCTTATTCTAGTTAAAGTATAATTTGGACCACACAAATGCAACTCATGACATTTAAGCTTTTAGGCCACAATATAATGTATGCAACCAAGTTTTACCACTACAAGCTGTTTTAATAAATAATACAAATAATTAAGTTAAACCTAACTCACTAAGTTGCAATATACAATGCCGCTCACATTCTGTGTTGCCATATTTTATAACAGTTATACTTAATTGACTAGTATTATGTAATGTAGAAATTTGAGACTTCTCTAATATCATTACTGTCCCAGGAATGTATCTCCAATACTTTCCAAGACAGCGATTGCGCTTCTCAACATAGCCCGGTTCTTTTAAAAGTGAACTCAGTTCTTCATCATCTGAAATGGACAATACATAAATAGATTATTATGAGTTGAGCTGACTTGAGATTTAAGAAATCGTTGCTTGTAGATATCTCACCTTCAAGCACAGATACATCTTGATCTATCCAGCGAGTTTGTATGTTAACACAAAGTATAGATAAATTAAATTCTTTGTATATATATCTGCAGTAGTTTATCATTGTATTTAAATATGTTAGACCTGTAATAAGAATTGTATTTATATTATACATTATAAGTTGTTTATAACAGTATACAGAGTATATATTTAATGTATATCAATAGTTTACATTACATGTTTACCTATTTTATTTGAGTCACCCAAGTGTTGAAACATCAAACACGGTAATGAATCTATTATTATCAAAGATATATTCTCAATATCACATTGATTATTTTTTATTTTTTTTAATAATTCTATCAATTCTTCAATAGTCCACAGACATATTACTTTTATTTTATATAATATCAATGCCATATCCTGAAATGAAATATTGTATTACTGTGGGGCATAATTACAAAATTAATAGTATACAATATTTAAAATAATAATAATTTCCAAAATAATCACATCAAAATACAAACCTTATGAGAGTATCCATGTGTATCTAAAATTTTTTGTATTCTCATTGCAGAAAAGTCACCCTTAGTGTCAATATAGAGAACATTATTTTCTGTATTTATTACACAATTAATAGCAAGTTGAAAGCATAATTGTGTTTTTCCTGATTCAGAAAGTCCACATAATTCAGTTATACCCACAGGAATACCACCATCAAGTATTTCATCTAAGCTAAAATAATAATATTAAAAACTTAAGTATGGTCATAATAAAATATTAATTTTAAATGTGGAAATTCCATAAATGAAGTATAATTATAATTAATAATAATTATAGTAAAGGTGAAATTTCATGGTTGAAGTCTTCAATAGTACTAAAACTTGTGATAATACCCAAATAAATGAGATATATAAAATTAATACACATTTAGACCACATCTTAGAAATTTAGCACAATTTATTACCAGTTTATTATTTATTACAGATAACATAATTTACAGCTAATGCAGGAGAACAGAAATAGTGTAATTTGGAATAAATCCACATTAATTTGAGTCATTGAATCAGTAACAGGTCCAGATGCATGTTTATAATAGATGTCCATCTCAACACATTATCATTAACTAAATGTAATGTGAATGGTGGAGTGGGGGAAACTGATTCTTATTTGGACTTCCAACCCATAGCTAGCAATGTATCATGTTACACTGACCACTGAAAATCATGGTCCTTAAATTTGATATACCTATTTACAACAAATGGTTACAAGACTTTACTTAATTATCACCTAACATTCTTCCCAAAAATGAATATGAAAAAAAATATATAAATCACCATATACTGAATTTTTTTTTCAGCAATACAATTATTACAAGTGCAACTATAGTTCCATTATTTTAACATCTTTACAATATTATAATTTTTGTAGACACTAGCTGCACACGCGACTTTGTCTGCGTTTTGTTTCTAAAATAAAAGTACTTATTACTTCTTAGTACATCAGCTAGCTTCCAAAAAAAATATTTATATGTCTTGAGTATACATGTATAAATTAAATTAAATCACATCTTACTTCACTATACCGGTGCGTATCTTTTTATTTTTCAGTATTTTCTCAACAAGTTTATCTCCTGTAATTACTACTGCGGAATATTTCTTAAATATATCATTCCTGACTTCTAAAACTCGAGCGAACGTTAATTTGGTTAGTTTCGATAACTTTTCAGGATCTTCATGAAGGAAATCTTTAATAGTGGTAATTCTATTCTGTGTGAGAATTTTAAACACATATGCGGTTAAATATACATGTTCTATGGATTTTAGGTTTTGCATCGTCTAATTGTGGAGAAACGCGAAATATTTGAATATTTAAACTTTATTCAACTTTGAGGGTACACCCCACAGAACACTAATATTGTACAGCCACAGATCAAGTTTCATTCCCATCACAGATTCACAATAAATACTCAGTGTTGCCGCACGTTTTAACTTTTGCCTTTAATTTGATTTTCTATTAAATTTTGTCCAAAATCCTTCTCAAAGTCTAGTTTCAAGAAAAAAACAAGAAGTGCATTTTTTTTCAATACATGTTATTCTTCTTTATATTATGTAACTTTAATTAAATGTGATCCTATTTCATTTTATTGCGTCTTTATGAATAATTTTATTAACGGCAAAATATATCAGTTTCATTGGAAACAACAAATGTTCCACCTACCAAGCAACAATAATTTTAAATCAAGCAAAATTTTAGATGAAGTTGGCTTAACCGTGTTACTACGTAAACTATGAAGCAAATAACTTCTCAATCAATGTTTTCTCAATCTTAATTTAAATAAACATGTGACATATTTTGTAAAATAAAACTCAGAATATATTTATAGCACAAACGCTATATAACTGTGGTATTATTCAATGTCTGTACAAATATTTATTAAATATATGTAGTTTCACTGCTTTTGCATGAGATTTTTAGCTCCTTTTATGGCTCCTTTATATAATAATTTCCATATTGAACTGGGCGACACTGCAAACTACCGACGCCCGCCATTCGTGTTTGCTGTCAAAACCTTAATTTCGATGTCTTGAAATTTATTATAAGTTTGCACTCTTTAATATTAATTTAATGGGACATTGATAGTAATTATAATTTCTTTTTTACAATAAAAAATGTCTAATATATCACTTGATAAGGAAACATTCTATCGTCGCATGAAAAAGCTGTATGCAGCATGGAAGGTTGGTTGTGTTCTTTATTGTAATCTCATATTTGATATTGTTAATTAATAAAGTATAATTTTCAGGCCGCTGCAGCTGATTCTAAAAGCGATGAGGCACTATCCAAGATAGATTGTCTAGTATCTTGTGTCGGTGTGGATGAAGATACCCTTTACAGTAAATCAACAGCGTTACAGGTTCGTTCCTTATATTAACGTGCGTACAAACGTGTTTTTTATTAGGCTGAAGCTTTTGCGTCTTATATTTATCTTAATTTTATAGAGCATATACTTTGAGTATAATAGTTTATTTATTGTGACTACTTTTTACTCTGAATTATTTCTTATTGAAACAGACTTCAATCAGATAAATTTTGGTACGGTTTTGTTAAGATTTAAGAGAGTTATTTTATTAAGATTTCTCATATTAGAGGTATAGTGCATCCTTTATATTTATTATAGTACATATATATATATATCATACACTTGCAAGTAATATTTCTATTGTGATAATAATTCAGTTTTTGTTTCATGACAATTAGCTTTATTTGTGAATGTTAATACAACTATATATTAAATTATTACAGACATGGCTATTTGGATATGAGTTACCAGATACAATAACTGTCCTCACAGAGCACAGCATGTGTTTCCTTGCCAGTAAAAAGAAAATTGAATTTCTCCGACAAATTGAAAATGGTAAAGATGAAACAGAGTTACCTCCTGCAAAACTTCTTGTTAGAGATAGAGTAAGTTTATTTATGCCAATGGTAATGTATTTTTTTTTTATTAATTTGAATATGTCTTGATTATAAACTTGTAACTTTATCCGTTTCGAAAGTAAGAGACTCAGAATAGTAACTACTTTAATCTAAAATGTCACATGTCTATGTGACATTTTGTATCAGAGACCAATTATTAATTAATTAATTATTTTTGCTAGCATATTAATTAGTTGATTTCTTTTAAAATATAACATATATTTAAACATTTGAATATGTTAATGTTTCATTTTGTTTTAAATCACTATATGGCTGGTATCTTCAAATAAATCTAGACCAATTAGTCTGATAAAGAAAATCAATTATACATTAATCTATTATTATGAATACTAAGAGTTCATACCATAGATTCTTATGCACCCGATTTATTTCATAACATCTCTTTACATTATCAAATTTAGTATTATTCTCATATATGCATATACACCAATTATGTTCAGTCAAGTTCATAGATTACATTGTATTATCTAGTGTATGAATCCAAATGTAAATTTACAACACACTTTTTATGGCTTGATAAACTCTGCATACATTCATGGTATTCATTGTATTGCAGTATTATATTATTGGTTACACAGCAGGGCACTAAGTATCATTACTTACATGATTAGTATTATGAATGCACAATTATTTTAAAATGTATGTTAAGAAAAAATTCTTTATATTATTATTCATTCCAGAATGATAAAGATAAAGAAAACTTTAATAAACTTATACAAGAAATAAAAAAATCAAAATCAGGAAAATCTCTTGGTGTATTTGCTAAAGATAATTATCCAGGTGAATTTTGCGAAAGTTGGAAGACGGCAATGAAAGCAGAGAAATTGGAAAATGTTGACATCAGTTCGTCAATTGCCCTCCTCATGGCGCCCAAAGAAGATCCTGAAGTAATAACTGTGAAAAAGGCTTGTTTGGTGACTGTTGATGTGTTTACGAAATATTTAAAAGACCAAATCATGGAAATTATTGATTCAGACAAGGTATGTTTATTTATTTATAAGTTCAGTCATTAGGTATTACATAATATTCACTGAATTTCTATTCTTTTTGTCTATACTGTAAGAGTAGCAAACAAACACAATCAATAATCACTCTTGGGACCTGTGACCACTGCCATATGGTGTGTCCAGGAGCAATACAATGATAACTAAAAGGGGTTTACATATCAAATAGTAACTAATCTATAAGTGTAAAATTTTGCAGTAACATGTTGTAATGTGTGGAACGGCTTGACCGATTCTCATGAAATTTTGTGAGCGTATTGAGTAGGTCTGAGAATCGGCCAACATCTATTTTTCATCCCCCTAAATGTTAGGGGTAGTCCACCCCAAAATTTTTATTTTTATTTTAAGGCAAAACAATGTTTGCCGGGACAGCTAGTATATAATATATAAAGCTGCATTATTATATATGAAATTAATATTATACAGATATATGTTAGACCCAAAACACATTTATTAATTTTACATCAACAGAAAGTAAAACATTTGAAGCTTGCTGAAGGAGTAGAAGCTGCAGTATCAGACAAAAAATATGTCACAGGTGTTGATACAAGCCAAGTAGACATGTGCTATCCACCAATTATCCAATCAGGAGGGAACTATAGTCTCAAATTTAGTGCTGTGTCTGACAAGAATCACTTGCATTTTGGTGCTATAGTATGTTCCTTAGGTGCAAGATACAAATCATATTGTTCTAACATTGTTCGTACATTGCTGGTCAATCCTACTGATGAAGTTCAGAGCAATTACAATTTTCTCTTGAACTTGGAAGAGGAGGTTATGAAACACCTGGTGGCTGGCGCAAAACTGTCATCAGTATATGAAGCTGGTTTGGCATTAGCAAAGAAAGAGAAATCCAATCTGGTGGATAATCTTACAAAGACTTTCGGGTAAGTCATTTTAAATTGATATTTAGTGTTTCATCAAAGACTGTGATCAAAACAGATGCTTCATGTAATTAAAGCAGTTTACTAAAAATTTTGTATTCTTTGTCACAAGTTTGAGGTTTCTATAAATATTAATTGTACTTCTTTTGCACTTCAGATTTGCCATGGGCATAGAATTTCGAGAAAGCTCAATTGTGATTGGGCCAAAAACTTCAATAGTTGCTAAGAAAGGCATGGTATTCAACATTAACATTGGCTTGGCTAACCTACAAAACAGTGTCGCTACTGATAAGGAAGGAAAGGTTAGTACATTCACTTCAACATAATAGATATTCTTCTGCATTACTTAATTTGATTATGTCATATAGCACTATTTTGATATTGCACAATATTAAATATTATTATGCAATATAATATTTAATATTGTGCAAATATTATTATATCAATCAAAAATAGGTCGCAATATTCTTAGAGGTAGATATAATGTCCGTCATGCATTTCCTCATTTCATTTTATTAATGGACTAGTTATTACCCATGAGATCATTCCCATGGATTCAGACTTTTTTTTATTAAAATTAATAGAATCGATAGAATTCTTAAATCCCCTTCATTATCCTTATAACCTTCATTATGCTTATCATTATCTGCGAGTGAAAGTCCCGTCAAATTAGGTCCACTCGTTTCAGAGATCACAGACACAAAAATTTCAAATAATATTTTTTTATGTAATTGTCATAATACTTTCGTATAAATTTAGTGTAATCCTATTAATTTGAAATTACAAATCACATCTTAAATTTTGTTTAATCGTATAGATATTGTAAATCAAAATTAACTTTTGTTAATTTTATGTCTGATTAATAATCTAAAATTTATGTCATCACACTAGAGGGAAGGGGACTCTCAAGTATGCTAAACTAGCACATAATACCTATAGTCATAGGTTTGATTTTATTAGAATTGTTTTTCTTCTTAGAATTTAATAACATGTCATTTTATCCTTTTATATCCTGTTAGTATTTGATACAAATTACATATTAACTTTATTTCATTTTTGTTATTACAATTTTAATACAACTGAAGCATTGTAACATTGTTTCTGTTCAGACATATGCACTGTTCATTGGTGACACAGTGTTGGTGAATGAGGAGCAGCCGGCATCTCTCCTCACACAATCGAAAAAGAAAATCAAGAACATTGGTATATTTTTAAAGGATGATGATGAAGATGAGGAAGAAGAGAAGGAGAACAAGACTGAGATACTTGGTGAGTGAGATTAGTGCAACCAGTTGTCATTTAAAAACTAATTTGTTTTTTTTTTTGCTTCAGAATTAAAAATGAAGGACTAATGGCAAAGTATCTTGCTGTTGTAAAGATTGTTGTTGTTGTTAGTAAAGCTTTATTTAATAAAAATCAAAATTGAAATTGCAAAGTTGAGTTCAACTTTTGTTTGAATTAAATTAATTTACTGCTATAATTAATGACAAATTTATATATTTTCTTATTTAGAATTAATGTTTTTCGACGAAAAAGAAGGCA